CCATAGCGGTTTTCAGGCTGTTTCTTAGGCTTCGGAGGGGATGATTTTGTTGATACGGCTAAAAACACTGCCGCTGAAGCAAAACAGTATCCTGCAAACAGCAGGGTACTGAATATCAAAATTAGGAGAAAAAACAACTGACAAGTTTAAATAAGACCCGGAAATTTGTTTCTCATTTTAAGTAGGAATTTAAGACACCATTTTTTCATGGATACCGTTCACCAATACACAACCTTCTCCACCGTTCTCGGTAGGGCCAAAGAAAACTACCTGAAGAGATATAAACACTTTGATTTAAAGCAATGGAAATTACAACAGCTCCGAATTTGCCTGCATCCGACAGTGGCAATGCGGGAGTCTCAGCGAACAACCGCTGCACCGAAAGTGGTTAGTTGCAAGACATGAACTGTCTCAAAGAGTGCGAGATAGACCTGTACACATGCATAACTCTCGTGGCTTGGCTAGTGACAATTTGAACATCAGTTTGAAACTGAAGCTTTCCTTTCATATTGACACTTCTGCAAATCTCTCCTCCCTGTTACTTTTCTGAATTTCTGGACTTTTTCCCTCTTCTGGACTTTTGGGTTGTTCTCTTTCCCGGATTTTTGAACTGCTCATTTATCCTTCCACATTGAAACTGAATTGAACTTTTCTTGAGACTGTTTTTTCTTATTTATCCAAAATCATGATAAATGCAGTTTCACCTGCACTGGTGTGAGCTACCGCTTTAAGTTCTACGGATGAGATTTGACGAATTTAAAAATGTCTATACTTGCTCTCTTGCTAAAACAGCTCTGCCATCTATCTTATTTAAATCATTAAGCTTCGTGCACAAATTTAATGCAAGCTTCATTTTTGAAGTTATACAGATGCAGTGGATGAAACTCGCGGTAGTTTCTCAGTGAATATCAGCCGGCTGAGCAGGCAGCTCTACCGGTGGATGAGCATGCTTGATGACGATGGTGGTGATATTATAGGACCTGCTCGAAAGCGTAAGTGCTTTTTTAGATATATAGCACAGCATGCACTGCTATGTATGCTATGCCG